ATCAGTGTAAACCAAAGGAAAACTTAGTAAGGCCCATAAATAAGTAACATCCTCTTCCAAATGTTTTTTGCATTAGGTCCTTCCAGAAGATTTGGAAGAAGGACTTAGGGTTTTTTTGTTGTTATTGTTTTTAAACCAACCACATCATGTATAATAGTAACAGGACTAAAGAGGTCCTTATATAAGAAATTAAGACACTATTTCTTCCATCTCTTAATGGTCTGAAGAGTTTTTGTTCAAAATGAAACTGCTTGGAATGTGTCACAGGTTGGCTTCTTATTAAAAACTTTTAATGTCAATTATTACCCTTGAATCCTACACCAGGAAATGCAGACAGCAGCAGTTTGGTTACTTTTCTTGTTTAAAAAACAATACCATTACCAAAGTTTAGCTTTAGAAGAGGAAAAACAAGTACAAGCACTCAAAAGAACTGCAAAAGTTTAAAATTCAATCCTTAAAGTACTGCCTAGTGACACTGCTTTTGACTACTTTGGATTGTCCTTAATTGCATTAGCAAAGTTAATACAACCTGTACGTGAACACCAATACTTACTTACCTTTCATACAAGTCACCTTTAAAAAAAATATTTCTATATTTTTAAACAAAGGTTGACTTTGGTTCTTAGCAAAAGAAGACATGCTTTTTTAGTTGTTTTATAATTTTTTTAAGGGAAAAAAGAGCTAATTTATTATTCGCCCAAAACCACCATGCATAAACTATACTATCCATAAGCAGATGATGCTGTTATTTTCCTACTAATCATCATCACAATCACCCACCAAATTGGGTAAATCTATTAGTTTCTAATTAATTATTTATAATAGTAATTAATAGGTTATTGCTTTTATACACTGAGATAGCAAAATAGACATACTGCACCCAGAAAGCCAACAGTATCCTGGGCTGCATTGAAAGAAGCGTGACCAGTGGGTCGAGGGAGGCGATTCTCCCCCTCTACCCCAGTGTTGTGAGAGCCCCCCCTGCAACACTGTGTCCAAACATGGGCCTTCAGCATAAGAAGGACATGGAGCTGTTTGGAGTGAGTCCAGAGAAGGCCACAAAGATGATCAGAGGCTGGAGCACCTCTCCTGTGGAGACAGGCTAAGAGAGCTGGGGCTGTTCAGCCTGGAGAAGAGAAGGCTCCAGGGAGGCCTTGTTGTGGCCTACCAGTACCTGAAGGGGCCTACCTGGGGAGGGACTTTCTACAAGCACATGGAGTGACAGGACAAGGGGTCATGGCTTCAAACTGAAAGAGGGTACATTTAGATTAGATATACAGAAGAAATTCTTCCCTGTGAGGTGGTGAGGCCCTGGCCCAGGTTGCCCAGAGAAGCTGTGGGTGCCCCCTCCCTGGCAGTGCTCAAGGCCAGGTTGGACGGGGCTTGGAGCAGCCTGGGCTGGTCGAGGTGTCCCTGGCCATGGCAGGGGTTGGACCTGGGAGGCTTTAAGGTCCCTTCCAACCCAAACCATCCTGTGATTTTAGCTAAGATAAAGATTCAGTCACTTTGAATCAAACTGAGATGGAACTGTTTGTTTAGTGAAAAAAGCTACATTTTCTTCAATGCACTGGTCTGACGTTAGGATAAAAATCTAAGACATTGTTGAGATGTTCAGAATTTAAAAGATTCCTATTTCTAACATAACTACATCTCTGATAGGAATTCAAAGTGTAAGCAATATTAGAACCAAACAGATTAAGCTTGTTTATGCATCTGACACATGACTGATGTAACAAGCAGCTTGTATGAATGAGAATAAATTGAGCACTAGACTCTTGACACTGGTTTTAAATTAAATTATACTGCAAGTACCAAGAAAAAAAAGCTATGAAAGTGTGAAAACTCCTCGCTCACATTCTTCCAGAGAATCCCATGAAAATCAGAAGATATCATAATATTTACTTGCATCAAAGACACAAAAGATATTCTTGGCCAACCAGATATAAGAATTGAACAGTATAAACACACGTAATTAGGAAGCACAGAGCTGTATGACCTCCAGTACAGGACTTCAAGTAATAAGGAAAAAAAAATTAAAAATCCCTGCATTTCATTCATTTCTGCCACTCATCTGCTGTGACCTTGAGCATGTCATGTTGTCCAGCCTCACTCCATCTTATCTAAACTTACCATGAGACTTTTATCAAGGACATCTTCCCTA